TGATTTGTTTATTTGGGCCTCTTCTCCTTTTTTTTAGCCTACACTTCTGTCTTCTGCATGTTCATTAGAAGGAAAATGATGTTGTTCGGAGTCCATAATACCTACAATATTGATCATAATTATCCGAATTACACAATATGACCCTCTAAATTGATCACTATACGTAATTTAATACAACCAATACCATACTACGTACAGAAATAGCATTTAGCACACTATTCAGCAATGTGCTCATACATACCCTTCAGCAAACCACTCATAAACACCATTCAACATACGATTCAGCCCCCCAATTTCATTCAAACCTATTCAACAAAACAATATTAGACAACAAGGTTCAGCAAACCATTCAACGTGAAATATGATTCAGACTCCCAATATCATACAAAACCATTCGGCAATACAATATCAGTCAACAAGGTTAGTAAATCGTAATATTTAATGCGTACAACATAGAAACAACATACTTGCAATATGAATAGAATCTTGGATGACTATGCTAACGGTGATGTTAATGAAAATATATAAACACATATGTCAATATTAAGGAACCGAAAAAATAAAAAATCTCTATTGAATATTGTAAATAATACAGTAACTAAAAAAAAAGACTTATCGATTAAAACAGAGGTTCGCAGCGGTGATTTGTTGAAGGTCAGTGGCAACGAAAGGGATAAAGAAACCAATGGTCTGCTAGAAATGTGTTTAAGGGTTTGGTTTGTTTAGTTGAATAACGCAGCTTTTAATCATTCTGTGTACTAGTCGTCTGTAAATTCCTATGTTCAAGGCAGGGAAATTAATATAAAATTAATTATTAAAGGCATTTCCATGGAACACCACCTTCAATAATCACCTAAAAATTTTATTAAAGATTATTGAAAGTACTTTTTACAAAAAAGACGTCTTTAATTATAAGCCTTTAAAATTGTCCAGCCAACTTATTAAAGGTATTTTTCATAAAAAAAAATGTCTTTTCTAATTCTTTAAAATTATAAAATGCATTTTCAGTAGAAAATTACCTTCAATAATTATGGATTTCCAAAGTTTATAATAAATTATTAAAGATATTGTTATCTATAACTACCTTCACTAATTATCTACAAACTATGATAAGAGTTATTAAAGGTATTTTTCTTAGATATACGCCTTCAATAACCGCGTTAAAATTTATGTAGCGGTATATAAAAGGCATTTTACAATAGAAAACGCCTTTAATAATTCTCAAAATTTTTAGTGAAAAAATTTTGAAGGCGTTTATTATTAACAAACGCCTTCAGTAATGGATTACTAAGTTTAAAGATATATTGAAGGCATTTTTTTGAATAAACACCTTCCATAACCATCATGGTATATTGAAGGCATTTCATAATAAAAGACACCTTTAATAATCTGAAAATTTTTTTTAAGAAAATTATTGAAGGCGTTGTTATCTACAATCGCCTTCACTAATTACCTACAAACTGTGATAGAAATTATTAAAGGCGTATTTCTTGGATATACGCCTTCAATAACCACGTTAAAATTTGTGTGACGATATATAGAAGGCATTTTACAGTAGAAGACGCCTTTAATAATTTTAAAAATTTTTAGTGAAAAAATTTTGAAGGCGTCTGTTATTAACAAACGCATTCAGTAATGGATTACTAAGTTTAAAGATATATTGAAGGCATTTTTTCGAATAAATGCCTTCCATAAACATCGTGGTATATTGAAGGCATTTCATAATAAAAGATGCCTTTAATAATCTGAAAAAAAAAATTTTAAAAAATTATTGAAGGCGTTGTTATCTACAATCTCATTCACTAATTATCTACAAACTGTGATAGAATTATTAAAAGTGTCTTTCTTAGATATACGCCTTTAATAACCGTGTTAAAATTTATGTGGCAGTATATATAAGGTATTTTATAGTAAAAGACGCCTTTAATGATTCCCAAAATGTTTAGTGAGAAAATTTTAAAGGCATCTGTTATTAACAAACGTCTTCAGTAATGGATTACTAAGTTTAAAGGTATATTGGAGGCACTTTTTCGAATAAATGCTTTCCATAACCATTGTGGTATATTGAAGGTGTTTCATAATAAAAGATACCTTTAATAATCCGAAAATTTTTTTTTAAGAAAATTATTGAAGGCATTGTTATTAACAAATGCCTTCAGTAATGGATTACTAAGTTTAAAGATATATTAAAGGTGCTTTTTTGAATAAACGCCTTCCATAACCATCGTGGTATATTGAAGGCGTTTTATAATAAAAGACGCCTTTAATAATCTAAAAAAAAACTTTTAAAAAAATTATTAAATGTGTTGTTATCTGCAACCGCATTCACTAATTATCTACAAACTGTGATAGAAATTATTAAAAGCGTCTTTCTTGAATGTACGCCTTCAATAACCATGTTAAAATTTATGTGGCGGTATATAAAAGGCATTTTACAGTAGATGATGCCTTTAATGATTCCCAAAATGTTTAGTGAGAAAATTTTGAAGGCGTCTATTATTAACAAACGCCTTCAGTAATTGATTACTAAGTTTAAAGGTATATTGAAGTATTTTTTTCGAATAAACGCCTTCCATAACCATCGTGGTATATTGAAGGCATTTCATAATAAAAGACGCCTTTAATAATTCAAAAAATTTTTTTAAGAAAATTATTGAAGGCATTGTTATCTACAACCGCCTTCACTAATTATCTACAAACTATGATAGAATTATTAAAGGCATCTTTCTTGGATATACGCCTTCAATAACCGTGTTAAAATTTGTGTGGCGGTATATAAAAGGTATTTTACAGTAGAAGATGCCTTTAATAATTTCAAAAATTTTTGGTGAGAAAATTTTGAAGGCGTCTGTTATTAACAAACACCTTCAGTAATGGATTACTAAGTTTAAAGGTATATTGAAGGCGTTTTTTTGAATAAACACCTTCCATAACCATCGTGGTATATTGAAGGCGTTTTATAATAAAAGACGCCTTTAATAATCCGAAAAATTTTTTTTAAGGAATTATTAAAGGCGTTGTTATCTGTAACTGCCTTCGCTAATAATCTACAAATTGTGATAAGAATTATTAAAGGCATCTTTCTTAGATATACGTCTTCAATAACCGTGTTAAAATTTATGTGGCGGTATATAGAAGGCATTTTATAGTAGAAGACACTTTTAATAATTCTCAAAATTTTTAGTGGGAAAATTTTGAAGGCGTCTGTTATTAACAAACACTTTCAGTAATAGATTACTAAGTTTAAACGTATATTGAAGGCACTTTTTTGAATAAACGTCTTTCATAACCATCATGGTATATTGAAGGCATTTCATAATAAAAGATGCCTTTAATAATCCAAAAATTTTTTTAAGAAAATTATTGAAGGTGTTGTTATCTGCAACCGCCTTCACTAATTATCTACAAATTGTGATAGGAATTATTAAAGGTGTCTTTCTTGGATATACGCCTTCAATAACCGTGTTAAAATTTGTGTGGCGATATGTTCAAGGCGTCTATAATATATTCTAAAAATATTTATGAGGGAATTATTGTTGGCATTTTTTTTTAGTATACACCTTCCATAATCCTGTCCAATAAAAATCTTCCCAAGCTTAGCGCATCCAATCACCAACTTCAAGCTTCATCTTCATTATTATACTATTTCTCTTTCCAAATCAAGTACAATTTACTTTCTCTTTCCTTCATCTTTTAGTATTCGATCATTGTCTTTTAGAACCTTAATTCAACTATTCATTACTTATTGACTTTAGCTTTTACTTCTTTTGACTATTCATTCACCTTTTGCAATTCGTAATTTTCTTTTTGGTGTAAAAAATTTTCTCCAAAACTCACCTTATTTCACCTTATGTCAACCCCAACTACAAATACTCTTAAGTACTGTCTACGTTAGAAGCAAAGTTTTAATAATTATAATATCTGGCAGTTGATAAATTACTTCACAACAAGGAGTTCTCGTTTTGTGTAAGTACATAAAAGTTTATCATAGTTTGAGAGCTTATTGTATCATTATGACCAATGACTTGAAGAGTGAAAAATCAATATTATTTTTAGGATTGTAAAATACATATAAAAATACATAAATGGGTTTAAGGCCTATGAGATATATTCAAAAATTAGGTCCAATTTTATAAGTCAACTAAACATAATATATATTTTAACAACCACACTCAAACTGAAGATGTTTTGAAATAAAACATATGGAGTTTGAAAATTATTGAAAATTAAGTAACAAAAACATAAACTTGAAAGAGATTTTGTAAAAAGATCTGCTACTTGTGAATAAAAAAAAATGTGGTAGCAAGATGGTTCTTTTTTATATCTCTTGCCTAATAAAATGATAATCTATTTTAATATGTTTAATCCATTCATGACAAATATCATTATGAGCAATTTGAATTGCACTCTCACCATCACAAAAGAAGTGGAATAGAAGTAGGTGTGTCAACACCTAAATCTATAAATAACCGAAACAATCACTTAATATTTGTTGTAGTGTCTAATAAAGCTTCATACTCTGCTTCAACATTTAAATGCGCCACAACCGTTTGCTTTTTACTTTTTCAAGATAACAAGGAATCACCTAGAAAAATACAATAATCAATTGTAGAATGTCGATCTTTTGTCTTTGATTTCTAATTTGTTTCAATTTTTATCAGAACTAGTTTTTTTTTATTATTATTATCTTATTATGTTGTCAACTTTCATGTTTAAGTCCCACCGTATGAATCAATCTAATTTTATGTTGGTTTTTTTAGTTAATTTTTTATTGATTTATTTTATTTATTGTTATTGAAATTTTTAAACTTTATAACTGAGATAGTTTGGTGATCCTATCTTTTCGGGTAACTAGAAAAAAAAATTTTAAAAATTTTTTAAAAAATAAAACATATGTTAGTATCTTTATATGTACGTTAGTATCTTAATTTGACTTGTAAAATTAAAAAATTTTGCTCAAAAGTATATAAAAACGAACTTTATAGAAAATGTATCAGACACATAAACATATAGTCTCCGTAATCTTGAGGAAAGGAAAGTTGATTAAAAAGAAAAAAATTTGTGAACATGAGAGCTCTGGTAAATATATATATATATATATTTATATTTATATATATAGGAATTATTAGAATTAGTTAACCATTTTCGGGAGGGCATAGGATGAGAAAACAGATAACGTGGCAGCACAAAAAAATGCGATAAGAAGCAAGCTAGCAGATGCGTAGGCTTTGTCAAAATAGTCGTCAAGGTCAAGCTTTGCCGCATCAGCCAATGCCTTAAGATCTTTAGTTGCACCAAACCCAGCTGCAGAACCAGTTGCTACCATATATGATATAGCCTGCCCAAAGATTTGAAGTTAATGTATTAAAACATCTCTATTTTCTGCTCCATTTTTCAACGTCTCCAACTTACGAAGAACCAAAGAAGATCAGAAACTTTAGTTCCCGTTTGGTAACATGGCTTACTGCAGTAAGGGTCATTCCCACAGCAGTGGAGCCACCTTTTGGACCAAAAGGCACTAAACCCTTCTCACCACACCAGGCCACGGTACCGAACGAGGCCTTAAGTCTCAAAGTTAAAGCCTCACAACAGTATTGCAAGTAACAATATAATCCAATTCTAAAATGGGAATATGAAGTAATGCCCAGAAATTAATTTCCAAACACTTAATTTATGAATGAAGCGAAATTTATGTGACGGTAAATGTTACCTCCCAATTCCTATAGTATAACGAATCAAAATCCATTGAAGTACAAAAAAAAATGGAGGTAGGAAAAAAAACCCCACTTGTTGGAAGTAAATTAAGACAAAATATTAATATTTTAATAATCAGATCGGAAGTTGAATATATTAGATGTCCTATTCCTGGCTCAATAGGTTTCACGAGAAATGTTGATTAAAGAAAAAAATGGCCTCCATCTAAGCTAAATATAGATATTAATTAGTGAAGACTATAGGATGATTAAGACTAATTTCAATTTAATCTCCATGACAAATGAAAGAAACAAGATGGAATGTGAAATGTAACCATGGACAGAAACAAAATGTTTGAAGACTATAGTTGATTTGTACCTTGTCCCCATAGAAATCAAAAACAAAGGCACCATCTCCTGCTATCAATCGATTTCCGGTGGCAATATGGTATAAAGAGAAAGCAGTTTGCAAGAGTGAGTAAACAAGTCCAATGATAATTGAAGCAAGCACGTATCTGAAATGGATAGGAATTCGATTAATTACAAAGTTAAATAATTTTCAATATATAATAATAAAAAATTATTTCATCTCAGATCACTCTGTATATAACACAATTATTATTTCAAGTAAAATAAATAAATTAATATAACATTAAATCAAATTTACATAAATTATAATGATTTACCGATAAGTATAAATATCATCGAAATGAACTGTCGAGTCTGGAAAAAGGTCGACTGATATGGTTGCGGTGTCGGTGACTAGTACAACCAGTGATGCTAAGAGAAGAGTAAACATGACAATCTTCAAAAGAAGAGTAATTACTCGGGAAATTGTTGAAGAAGGTGGAGGTGCCATCTTTTTCTTGGTGTTCCAATATTTTTCCCGTTATTTTTGGTGCAATTTGCTCTCTCAATTTATATAACCAAGGTAGAGTATATACCTAAGGGGTGGAGACAGCTGGGATATTCGACAAGGATAAGGCCTCCTTTATTTGGATAATGTCGTCTTTCAAAGTTCTAATGAACCTGAGACAATAAGGTTAATTTTCCAATATTTATTGGGGTTGTCAATTTGAGGCATTGTCATTGTCTTATTTTAGCTTTGTAGGCCTATATTTTATTTAGATAAAAACAAAGCCTTGAAAACAAATTGAAAAGCATTTGATTTTGTCTTCTGCAATGGTTTTTGAGAAATGTAAAGACGAAGAAATGATGATGATAGGATTGTTTAGCTTTTTCAGAATGAGGAGTATAAATTATTTTATACTAAAAAAAAAATTAAAATAAAACTTTTTGCAAAATAATTAAGTTTATTACTAAATGTCACATCAATACCTACATATGAAAGTTGTTGCAAGTCAAAAACATTTAAAAAATTAAACTCTAATATTATGCCATGTGTCCCATGATTGGGATTTATCAGCCAATAGAAATTTTAATTGATAATTTAAGCATAATTGTGTAATTAACTTATTATTTAAAGGTTAAAATTGGAATATAATGAAAGAAGACCTCCACTAAATTTATCAAATTACCCTTAAGGAATTTAATTGATCTTAAAGATATTTTGGGCAAATGAAACGAATTAATTTGAGAAAGAAAAAAATAAAATAAAATTCCTAATACCTATATATTAAATTTATCCCCAACCATATAATGAAAGATATTTAAAAAATTAAAATCTAATTTTATGCCATGTGTCCTTTAATTATGATTGATTGGTTAATTGAAATATTAGTTGATAATTTGCGGGCAATTGGGTAATCGGCTTGATTATTTAAAGGATAAAATCTATAAAAAAAATATTAAAGTTGTCTCTTGTATTCCAATTTAAAGCCAAATCAACTTTGCCATTAGACATGATTTGATGGTTAATTTTTGAAAGAACGGTGATAACGAGGATAAAAATGTCATTACGTGCTTATCTCTTTTCTTGTTTCTAATAATGGTAGTATAAGAAATTTATTCAATGTCAATTAGTCCTGCTCTAGGTTTTACCTTTCAAATCTCTCATAACATCAAATCTTAACTTGCAAAATAACTTTGAATCAATAGTAAAATCGGTGCTCAAATTTTTTTTTTATTTGGAAAACGAGGGTTCTGATATTACTTTTGAAAAGGAAAGATTATGTATCAATAATTAAATCAAATATTTCAAGTATTTGGGTATTCAAAATTTATGTATACATAAAGTTAAAATAAAGTAATTAATTATGCTTTAAATGTAAAAATCATGACAGAATCTCTTACTAAATTTTTTAAGATTTGAGTCAATATTTTCAATGGAATAACTAGTACTGTTTGATTGCAAATCTTCCATGCACATGCATTGTTTTGAATAACAGCCTTTGTTTTCTTTTCACCTTAAATCAACAAAATGATACAAGATTTGAAGGACTATGCCAGAAATATGGTGGAGAGAAAAGCAAGAGAAGAAGCTGGAAAAGTTCTTCACTCAATGACACAGTCAGGTAGGGAACTAATGTTCGAATTCATTGTTATAATTCAATAGATTTTTAATCATTGAGCATATGTATGATAGGTTCTCAACCATCTCGCATGATGCAACTGTGAAGAAAAAGAACGCACAGAATATTATTAGGGATGGCCACACTAAGGTAATTTGCTTAGTTATTTGATGGTTAGTAGAACTTTAATAATATATCTCTTACTATTAGTAATCTGAAAAGTCTTAAAATATTGTTGTATTGCAGTCTCTTAGGCTTTTGTCTGTAATGGCTGCCATGCGATTAGATGAGAAACCGGATAAAATTGAGAAAACGCTCTTTTCCTCCCTTCTAAATGGAAAAGTGCGTTCAAAAACCCTCAAACACATGGCTAGAGGTAGTAAGTTTGGACGGTTACTTTCTTGATACAGTATATGCAACGCATAATGATAAAAATAAGCACTCAAACTATAGTAACAATAGTAGTACGATTAAGTAATCACAATTCAAGAGTTGAGAGATGGGGGAGAACTTTAGAGAAAAAAAGAGTGCAAGAAAGTGGACAGGAAATGGTAGGATGTGGCACTTCAATCGTTATTGCAGTGGATCTTCTGACATTGAGAGATGGAGAAGCAAATTGGTCATGGTGTTCGTTGATAACATCAACCCGAAAGGCAGAGAAGGAGATTTGTGGGACCTGATCATGAAACATGGTAGAATTCTGGATTTTTATATTCCTCTAAAATGGAAAAAGCCAAGAAGGAGTAACTTTGGGTTCTTCTAATTCAAAGACCTAAAAGAAGCATTATAAGTTATTAGGGCTTTAGACGGTTACTACTGTAATGACTGGATATTAAACGTTGGTTTAGCCAAGTACAATAGAAAGTTCTGCTACAGGATACCACCAGCAAACGAGGAAAGCTAGCAATAAAGGTAAATATCCCTTAAGAAAGCACCAAGGCCTTAACAGACTATCTTATGCTAAGATTGTAAAAAAAGGAGTAGCAGATATCGAAGTGGAAGAGCCAAAGGGCGAGGCACGAAAGGTTGTTGTATCATTGGACTACTTACATGAAAAAGGTAATACACGGAAGAACCAGATTGTTCTGGAAGACCAAGAATTAGAGTAGGAATGGCTGGATAAATGTGCTATAGCAAAGGTCAAGAATCCTCAATCCATCCACATGCTTTAACGACATATTTTTAGTCAAGGCATTTCTCACTTTTCAGTTACAATGATGGGGGGAAGTTTGGTGCTATTAACGTTTGAATCTAAAGAAGAAATGATCAATATGCTGCAAGAAGGGAAAACATGGCTTAGCAAATGGTTCTTTTGGACAGTGCCATGAACTACTGATCTCATTGTCAACAATAAGTTTGTGTGGTTAAAGTTAGAAAATATCCCCCTTCATGCTTGGTCTCATGGTTTCTTCAAAAAAATTGGTGATCTTTAGGGAAGTTTTATATCAGTTGATGATAGTATAATGTTCAAAAAGCGTTTGGATGTAGCAAGAGTTCTATCTCTTATGAACAAAGACGTTTCACCATCCAATTCAATACAAGTTGAGTTTAAAGGAATCCAATGCAATATCCGATATTCTATCGAAGAAAGGCCTGACTTTTTATGGAATTCCAATGTGAAGAATACTACAAAGGAAAAATTTATCCCATGTCCAATGAAAGTTCTCCCAATGAGGTTAACTCAAGTATTAATGGAGAATACAGAGAGGAAGAGAAATAGTTCACATGCATGCGGGAATATAAAAGTAAAACAAAAACCAGTATTCCCTCGAAAATGAATATAACAGCTAGCACAACAATATGTAGGCCGTCCTTTTCAAATTTGTGACATTCTCAAGGCGACATTGATGATGTGGGTTGTATGTTAACAGATAATCTGGAGTTGCACTCAATAGAAAATAGGTTTATTCAAGTGGAGGAGTTTGAGGTTTTTCAATCAGGGAAATGTGGTAAGCCTATGGAATAAAGGGTGGAAGAGCAAATTAGCCTAAATTCACAAGATTGTGAAGATAAGTAGTTCAACAAGGAAAGACCCATTAATGATTGGGAAGAGAATTTTAGGCTCAATATGGCCCTATGCTCTGAAAAAATGTTTATGGCTGAAGGTAGTGTAGTAAACAAAAAGGCTGCAATAACCAGTATGGCCCCTACTGAGGAAAGAAAAAAGTTAAATGAAGACCTAACCAAGAAAACAAAAAATGCTGGGAGAATTAGGAAATCGATGCTGGTGCTTGATTTTGATATTAACAAGAAGGTTCCAGTAAATAAGAGAAAAATAGCTAGGAAAAAAGGTAAAAAAGAGAAGCTTCAGTCACAAAATAAAGCTGACCTTCTAAAGTTACAAATGTTAGAGGAAGCCTTCATTTCAAATAAGGACATCAAGAGTAGAAACAGAATCCTATGAATAGAGGTCAAGAAGACATTGACAGTTGGTAAGCTCTTTAGATTAACTGGAGACATGGACGATGAGGATTTAATTGAAAAGCTTATAGCTATGGAGAAGGACGAGGATGCAAAGGTAGGTAACCCTTAAAAATTTCACACTTTCTCTTCCTATATGGGGTTCTCTTAGTTTCAATTAAGTTAATTTCAATAAATATTAAAGGAATTGAAAAATCAAAAAAAAAAAAATGAAGGCCTTTAAAAAATTGATTTCTAGGGAAAAACCTTCTTTAGTTTTCATTCAAGAATCGAAATTCCAAGGGGTATCGGACAGAATCATTTAACAACTCTAAAGGGGAAATGACATAAATTTCAAACACAGTGACTCACGTGGCCTTGCAAGGGGCTTAATCAGTATGTGGAGTAAAGCTCAATTTCAACTCATATCTTCTGTGATTCAAGCAAGATACATTTGGTTAAAAGGAACTTTCTTGGAATTCTCTGGAGTCTTTAATCTTATTAATATTTATGCCCCTAATGATGTCAATAAAAGAAAGCATTTCTTTGAGAAAGTTGTACAGTTGATAACTACTGATGATGAATTTTGGGGCTTTGCGGGTGATTTCAACTCAGTCTTAAGTGAAGAAGAAAGAGTTAGGGCTTCAGACTACTCCAGATCCAATAATGACTTCAATGCCTTTGTCCAAGATTCAGAGCTTGTTGATCTACCACTAATAGGGAGAAAATACACTTCGTACAGAAGGAATGACTCTCCAGCAATGAGTCAGCTTGATAGATTCCTCCTATCCACAAACTGGTTATCTTCTTTTTCATCAATTAATCAATGGAGCTTAGATGATTTTTTTTTGGACCACATAGCTATTTGCCTAGGCATCAATGTTATGGATTGAGGACCGAAGCCCTTTAAACTCTTCAACCATTGGCTACAAAATGGTGAATTTAACATGCTGATGGATGAAAAATGGAATAATTACAAGGTGCAAAGTTTCGCAGGTTTTAGGTTTCACAAAAAACTGAAGTATTTAAAACAAGACATTTGATCTTGGAAAGGCTATGTAAAAGGTGGCATGATGGAACCCATAGAATTCTTAAATAGTGAGATTAGCAGCCTAGAGAAAAAAACATGAGACCGATTCTTTCAATGTTAAAGTCAGTACTATGATCAATGAGAAGATGGAGGAACTATGGCGCACCCAAGCTATAAAAGAAAAAACATGGAGATAAAAGGCAAGACTGAAATGGCTACAGAAAGGGGATAAAAACACAAAGTTCTTCCATTGTATTGCAAGTAATAGATGGAGGAATAACTTTATTGGCAACCTATCTTTCAATGGCAGACAACTAAATAACCCTAAGGAAATCAGAAATGCAGTGAAAAAGCATTTCTCAGAGCACTTCAGAAAAGATCAAAGCCGATCTCTTGTATTCTCAAATGCATTTCTGAATGTGCTCACCCCTAGTCAAGCCTTTTAATTAGAAGTCCCCTTTTCAGAAAAGGAAGTGCTGGATGCAATTATGTCTTATGATGGTGATAAAACTCCAAGTCCAGATGGCTTTAATATGAATTTTATGAAAAGAAAGTGGAGTCTCTTCAAGTTGAAAATGATGGAGTTTTTCCAAAAGTTCTTCAACACGAGAAAGCTCACAAAAAGGATCAACAGCTCTTTTATAACTTTGGTAGCAAAGAAACACTTTGCAAAATCTCTAAACGACTTTCGACTAATATCATTAATAGAGAGCATCTACAAAATTTTGACAAAAACTTTAGCAAATAGATTGAAACAAGTAGTGGGTTCTCTCATTAGCCAGACTCAATCCGCCTTTGTGGAAGGCCGCCAAATTATAGATAGCATCCTTATTGCAAATGAGGTTATTGATAACCTCAAAAAATCAGTGAATAGAGGTCTAGTGCTCAAGTTAGATTTTGAGAAAGCTTTTGATAAGGTCAACTGAAATTTTCTCCTGCACATCATGAGTCTCGTGGGCTTTAAAAATAAATGGATTGGATGGATTAGAGGTTGTATTTCTTTGACTTCAATATCAGTATTAATAAACGGATCCCTGACAAATCTTATTGAGATGCAGAAAAGTCTTAGATAAGGCAATCCCCTATCTCCATTCTTGTTTATAATGGTTACAAAAGCATTGAGTTTTTTACTCAATAGGGCTGTTGACTTGGAACTCATCAGAGGAATAAGAGTCGAGAATGGTGGTCTGTTGAAAATTGATTCAAAATTGAGTTCACACCTGGGCTCAAAGTCCTAGGTTTTAGGATATAGTTGGTAGTAGATAATGGTTTTTAGGATTAGTGGGTAGTAGTTGTTGGTAGTAGTTATTAAACGTGATTGAGTAATTCTTAATATTCAACCACTTTCCCCACTTACCCATTATCTGTTAACTGTTTGAGTTTTTTTTTCTGTTAGTAAGCCTATAAAAAGGCTGATTGAGTTTAATAGAAATGCAGAGTAATTTATTTACAATTACCCAAAATTTGTTATTTCTTGTGTGTTGTGTTTAATTTTAGGAAAACATATCTCCTTCCCTAACAAATCTTTGGTATCAAAGCCTTAAGATCCTTACCCATTTTTTGTATCCGCTGAATTGTCAACGATGGCAGTAAGTAGCAATTCAAATGTAGCCCAACCTCTCATTCTTGTGTTCGATGGAAAACATTATGACTTTTAGAGCATTAAGATGAAGACACTCTTCAAATCTCAAGATCTTTGGGATTTTATAGAAACTAGATATGACGAGAATAATAACGATGAAGGACGATTGAAAGACAATAAGAAGAAGGATTCCAAAGTCCTATTTATCATTCAGCAGGTAGTTCATGAGACACTTTTCTCCAGGATTGTAGCACCCAACACTTCAAAGGAAGTTTGGGAAACCTTGCAGAAAAAGTTTCAGAGCTCTTCAAAAGTTATTGTTGTGAAACTCTAAACTCTTTGGCATGAGTTTGAAACTTTGATGATGATGAGTAAGGAAATGGTGCAAGATTTTCTTTCTAGAGTAATTTCTATTATTACTCAATTGAGATCTTATGATGATAAGATTACTTATGAGATTGTTATTTTCAAAGTTTTACGAAGCTTAACTCCAAAATTTGATCATATAGTTACTACAATAAAAGAGTCTAAAGATTTATCTATTTTTTCTTTTGATGAACTAATGGGTTCTTTGCAAGCTCATGAGGCAAGGCTAAACAGATCACAAGAGAAGACTGATGAAAAAGTATTTCAAGTGAAAGGGGAAAAAACTAGAAAGGAAGTGTCCATTGACAAAAGGGGTGGCAGAGGAGGCTTTCATGGAAGAAGATGTGGCAGAGGTAGAGGAAGAGGTCGTTCTGATGGACAAGAGAGGCAATCGATGGTGAGCAAAAAGAGAACAGAAGTACTGTCCAGTGTTACAATTACAAGAAATTTGGGCATGTAAAAGCAAATGGCTAGAACCAAGTGTGCTATATGGAGGAAAAAAGTAAAGAAAGTAAGTTATTCATGACTCATTTACTTGCTAATGAAGTTCCAAATGATGTTTGGTTTGTGAATAGTGGGTGCTCGAACCATATAACCCCCAATAGATCACTGTTTAAGAATCTTGATGAGTCACAAAAGTTGCAAGTCAGACTTGGGGATAACAAGCAGATGCAAGTTGAAGAAAAAAGTACCGTTACAATAAAAACAAGCAATGGTAAAATAAAATTACTTTTTGATGTCTTCTTTGTTCCTAATTTGGCCCATAGTTTGTTGAGTGTTGGACAACTAATGACTGGTGGATGTGTAATTGTGTTTGAAAATGGAGTATGTGTGATTAAAGATAAATTTGGGCAACCTATGGTGAATGTGCATATGACAAAAAATAAAATATTTTCACTTAAATTTTCTAACGTGGAAAAGCAAGCTCTTATTGTTAGCAGGAAGGTTGAATCAAAATTATGGCATCTACGATATGAACATCTCAATATCAAAGGCTTGCAGTTACTAAGTAAAAAAGGTATGATTCTTGGATTGTCTAAAATTGGATCTCTTGATTTATGTGAAGGGTGTATTTATGAAAAACAAGCAAGAAAGTCATTTCCAAGTGGACAAAAGCCTCTGAATGCCTTGAATTGATACATGTCGATTTATGTGGGCTTATGAGAACTACATCACTTGGTGGGAGTAAGTATTTTTTGCTGATGATTGTAGTCAAATGAGTTGGGTTTATTTTCTAACCAATAAGTCAGAGACTTTTGAGAGTTTCAAAAATTTTAAATTTTTGTGGAGAAGCAAAGTAGAGCTTTCATAAAAACTCTTCGCACTGATCGAGGAAAGGAATTTTTATCTAATGACTTTAACCTTTTTTGTGAGAAAAATGACATTCACAGGGAATTGACTGCGCCTTATACTCCAAAGCAAAATGGTGTAGCTGAAAGAAAAAATCGTACTGTTGTGGAAATGGCTAGAAACTTGTTGCAAGCAAGAGGACTACCAATCATTTTTGGGCTGAAGCTATGGCAACTACTGTTTACTTGTTGAATCTTTCTCCTACAAAAACAGTCTTCAATCAGACACCTTATGAAGCTTGAAGAGGTACAAAGCCGACGGTAAGCCACTTAAGGATTTTTGGTTGTGTTGCTTATGTTTTAGTTAATTCTCAAGCTCATCACAAGCTTGAGAAAAAATCTAAAAAATGTATTTTTGTGGGATATTACACTCAATCCAAAGCATATCGTCTATATAATCCTCTTAGTGACAAGGTGATTATTAGTAGAAATGTGATCTTTGATGAAAATACAAGTTGGAGTGGAATGGCAAAAATAAGACTACTCAAGTTATGATTCCAAGTGAAATTGAGAATTCAAGTGAAAATGAAGCAAATGAATATGTCGAATCAACTCCCACAAACTCTTCAGTCAGTTCTTATTCATCGGCTTTCTTATCTCACTCTTCACCTCCAACCTCATAACATAACAGTTTACCTTCTTTGAAAGAATTATTAGATAAAACACCTCCAAAAAAGTTTAGATCCTTGAAAGAGATTTATGAAACTTGTCAATTTGCTCTCATTGTTTCAGATCTGACAACTTTTGAAGAAGTAACAAACCAAGAAGAATGACAGAATACAATGCAAAAAAGATGATGGCAATCCAGAAGAATGAAATATGAGAAATGATAGATTTACCGAAAGACAAGAATGCAATTGGCCTCAAGTGGGTGTTCAAAACTAAATACCACGTTGATGGAACCATACAAAAGCACAAAGCTTGATTGGTGGCGAAAGGATACTCGCAGCAACAAGGTATTGATTTCGAAAAAACTTTTTCTCCGATTGCTCGATTTGAAATAGTGATAATTATTTTAGCTTTGGCTGCACAATTTTATTGGGCTATTTATCAATTTGATGTCAAATCTGCTTTTTTAAATTGAGACTTAAAAAAAAAGGCGTATGTTAGTCAACCTCAAGGGTTAATGATCAAAGGTAAAGAAACAAGATGTATAAGCTAAAGAAGGTACTTTTACGAGTTGAAATAAGCACCACGGGCATGGTATAGTAAGATTGATAGCTATTTTTATCACAATGACTTTACAAGAAGTGAAAATGAGCCTACTTTTTATGTGAAAAAGAAAGAAAAAAATGATCATATAATTGTTTACCTTTATGTTGATCACATTATTTATATGGGCTCATGTGATTCTCTTGTTGCTGAATTTAAAGCTAACATGATGAAGGAATTTGAAATGTCAAACATGGGTCTGTTGCATTATTTTTTGGGGCTTGAGGTAAAGCAAGGCGATGATGGAATTTTCATTTCACAAAAAAAGTATGCAATGGATCTACTTAAAAGATTTAATTTGCTCAATTGCAATCTAACTGCCACACTTTTGAACATGAATGAGAAGTTACAACTTGAAGATGGTTCAAAAAAGATTGATGCAAAGACTTTTAGAAGCTTAGTAGGAGGTTTGATTTATCTAACCCATACTAGACCAGATATTACATTTTCTATTGGTATAATATTCAGGTTTATGCAAAGTCCCACAAAACATCATCTTGAAGAGACAAAAAGAGTCTTACATTATATTGCTGGAACTAGTGATTTTGGAATTTGGTATTGACAAATTACAAACTTTAAATTACATGGATTCACATATAATGATTGAGCAAGTTCATTGGACGATAGAATGAGTACTTCAACAAGTGTTTTCACTCTTGGATCAGGTGCCATCACATGGAGTTCAAAGAAACAAGCTACAACAGCTTTATCATCTTCAGAAGCTGAGTATGTAGTAGTAACTTGTCAAGTAATTTGGATTAGAAGACTTCTTGTAGATCTTTGTCAGGTTCAAGATGGAAACAACAAGTCAGCAATTGCTATGACAAAGAATCCAGCATTTCATGGAGAACAAAGCACATCGACATTCGCTTTCATTTTATTCATGACTTAGTTACAGATGGTGTAATCAAAATGGAGCATTGTGGAACGGACGAAAAGCTAGCAAATCTTTTCACCAAAGCACTTTCAAGAGAGAAATTTTTCTACTTCAGATTACGTCTTGGAGTATGTGATTTTGAATCAAAAAGAAGTGTTGAAAAATGATTCAAAATTGAGTTTACGTCTGGGCTCAAAGTCCTAAGTTTTAGGATATAATTGGTAGTAGACGATGGTTTTTAGGATTAGTAGGTAGTAGTTGTTAGTAGTAGTTATTAAACGTGATTGAGTGATTCTTAATATTCAACCACTTTCTTCACTTACCCATTATCTGTTAATTGTTTAAGTTTTTTTCTCTGTTAATAAGCCTATAAAAAGGCTGATTGAGTTTAATAGAAATGTAAAGTAATTTATTTACAATTACCTAAAATTTGTTATTTCTTATGTGTTGTGATTTAATTTTAGGAAAGCCTACCTTCTTCCCCAACATGGTCTACAAATATCTCATCTTCAATTTGTAAATGACACTATTATTTTTTGT